TACTCCAGCTCTTCAACTCATTAAGATAAAATTTATAATTGCAATACCAAATGTTTCCTTATCTAAACATCCATAAATTTGTTCTATCTTTTTTTCTTTTTTTTTGATAATTTACTCTTCTTTTTTTTTTACACTTTAATACACCTTAAAAGAGGCTTAAATAATGAAAAATAATTCTACTTTCCTTCAAATTCTTTTAAATTCAAAACTTATAACTTTGAATCTCATACTTTTCTTCCATCCCTTCTTCTCTTTAACAAACAATACTGCCAAAAAGTACAGAAGATAGAACAATGGAAAAAGAAAGAGACCCATAATAGTAAATTAGCAAATGACGACAAAGCAGAATGTCAAGAATTTTTTTGGTTTTCAAATGTCAAGAATTTTGGTTGCAGAAAAAATAAACAAAGAAAACAAAGAATAAAAAGGCTTAGGAGTGCGAATCAACGCAGACTCTCCTCCCCCTCTACTACTTGGATTGGATCCCCCACCAACTTTGCGAAAGCTAGTTTCCTGGAAGAACCCCTTCTTCTCTTCCCCCCCATATTTATACCCCAATCTTCCTGAAAACCAAAACAACCACCTCCGCCATTAACAGTATTTCCATAAATAAATTATTTAATATCGTTAAGTTTTCTTCTTCTACCATTTTTTTCCTTAAATGGAAGAAATGAACAGAAGTTCTTCATATGCATCGTCATCGGGTTCATCTTCCTCAGAGTCGTCGTTCTCGGCAAGAGTGACGAACAAGACGGAGAAGATTAAAGGTCCGTGGAGTGCGGAGGAGGACAGGATTCTGACTCGGCTGGTTGAGCGATATGGCCCGAAGAATTGGTCCTTGATAAGCCGGTATATTAAGGGGCGGTCAGGAAAATCCTGTAGGCTCAGGTGGTGTAACCAGCTGAGTCCTAATGTTGAGCACCGGCCGTTTTCTCCGGAGGAGGACGAGACTATCTTGGCTGCTCATGCGCAGTATGGGAACCGGTGGGCCACCATTGCGCGGTTGCTCCCTGGACGTACGGATAATGCGGTGAAGAATCATTGGAACTCCACGTTGAAGAGGAGAGCCAGAGATCAAATACATCAGCAGCAGCGGGGAGCACAACAAGAACAGATTCAGTTACAACATGGAGAAATGGATGGAGGTGACGTGGCATTGGGATCTGCCGGAATGGAGGAGGAGGCGTTTACAGCTTTGACTCTGGCGCCGCCGGGGAGTAGTGGTGCGGGGAAGGTGGAGATGAGGAGGGAGGAGAAATTGCCGACTGGGTTTTGGGAGGTGATGAGGGAGGTGATTGCGAGGGAGGTGAGAGAATATGTGAGCTCAACGTTGCCTACTGAGAATTCTGGGTTTCATTAGGATACGGCGACGTTTTCTTCATTTCGTTGTTTTGAGGTTTTGGATTTATTTGTGGGGTATTAATACATTATTAATTAATAACTTTTGATTTTCCCCCCCCTAGTTAGGGTCAGTTTACCTTGAAAAAACATAATGTAGTAAAAATCATGATGCCTGAGCTCCGGGCAATAAAAAAATGTAATATGTTTGGTTATTAATCTCAAAGAAATCATAATTGTGAATTGTCTCTTAATTGGTTTTTTGCTTGCAAGTTAAAAAATGGGCAGTGCTTGAAAGTATAAATGAATTTGAATTTATCACTCTCACGTTATCGAAACAAAAATGTTATAATTACAATATTACGTGAATTTATAAGCATATAATATAATATATTATTATATAATTAATTTTTTATTCAATAATTTATTTATAATATTATATATATTTACTTATTTAATATCATGTTATATTTATTTAATGTTATGTTATAATTATAAACTTACAATTTTATATAATATTATAATTATAATTATAGCATTAATGTTTAGGAAACAATACAGTCTTATGATAAATGACTAGATATTCTTTATGGTTAATTATCTACACTAACAATGATTATCTACTCCACTAATATTCATTGATCAATGACTAATTATGTACCATCTGCAGTGCTACGCCAAAACTATAGGATAAGATTGTTGTTGGTATGAATGGAATTTTTTATTTTGGTAATTTTAAACCTTTTTTTTTTTTTGTTATTCATATGCATTCAATTTTTAAGTTGAACAATGTACAACTAGTTGGTGTTGAACTTATATAATGACTTAACCAAAACAAATTAAATTTAGTAATTGGAGAAGAAGAAGACGTGTAAGTACCAATAATTTCTTTGAGAAGATGTACAGTTGTTTGTTTGTGCCTAAAAGAAATCAAATTTGAATTTCAAAATTCATATAAATCATGATAAGGATTTCCTATAATTTTTTTAAATATATATATATATATATATATATATCAATATCAAACTTTAAGGAAAAGATTAGCAATGCAAAACAAGGGGTCATATTCCTTCTGAAATTTAACACT